CCAGGGCACCTGGCAGCCCTGCCAGCTGAGGTCTCTGTTGTACCCGTTGGCTTCCTAGATGCCGCCCAACACATGCATGCCAGAGGTGGGGACCCTAGAGACAGATGCATGGTCTCTATGGTTGATTCAGTCCTTGGCTTCTCTGCCAAGGGCATCTGTGCACCCTGTGGAAAGTTTCTGCAACGAGGACACAGACTCACTTCCTCTAATATAGTCCCCAGAGGCAAGAGATGAGTATTGGCTAAAGCATTCATATGGAACAGCGTTCTGTCAGAGAATACTGATTCCACAATGGGGATTCATTGATTTAATCCAAGCTTTTGTAGAAAATTATTACAATGTTTTATAGTGACTTAATTTTGTCTCATTTTATTTAGTGGAATGTGTTGATGAGTTCAGAAAAAAAATTTTTTTGGAAATATTTGTACCAAACGTTCTGATATTTGGACTGTTTGGGCCAAATTAAGAAGAAAGCCAGGTTTTGACACCTCAGAGCTTCCTGGGAGATGGAAATACCAGGTGCTGACCAACTTAACTAATGACTTTACCAACCTATGCTGGATTCAGAGACAATTTTGTCATTAGGAATCTGCAGAATAATCAGTCTCCCCACATTTTCTGAAAAAAAACCCAATCAAACCTGGCCTGGATTGCCCCACATTTCACTGGGGTCTCCTAACCTGGTACAAAGGCTGGAAAGGTGCTAAGTGCTAAACAGTATAAAATAGTAAATGCCTTTGGGAACTCCTAGTGGCAAAGTGAAGAACTTCTGAGAGATAGCAGGACAGACTGATTCCGCTTGTGTAATGTTGGAAGATCACTGTGGGTAAAACGGAGGTCCTAGCAACATGGTACTGAAGAAGGAAACCTGGTTTGATACTCACCAAAGCCACAGGGAGCTAGTGCAAACTCTTTTTTCTTAAGCTTTCTACATGGCATCTCATATTTTGCAAGTCTGTTGTTCCTCCTGCTGGGTTGAGGGACATACACCCTGCCCAATCCAGGCACCAGTTGGATGTAATCAAGCTCCTCTTTGGCTTAATAAGTTTTTTCATTTCATTGGGTTCCATGAATCCACTTGACACATTTCTTGTCCGTGCTGCTGGGGGTACCTCTAGACTGGTACGTTCCTTGAGGTGGGCAGGACGCTCAGCTGACATGGGGCATGATGATTTGTGGGACCTTCCCCATTGAGGTGCTCTCTGCTTGGTCTCTGTTCTAGCCTGCTGCAGCAGGAGCCCCTTCTCCTGGTACCCCCGGAGCTGTCTCGAGAAGCTGGGAGCCATGACCTGACTCGAAAAAGCATCATAAAGAGGTAAGTGGTGCAGGACGGGAGGAGGAATTTAGTTAAAATGTCTTGTTTTTTTTCCCCTGCTGATTATTCCAGGTGCGTGGGAGAGGGGAGTATCATGGACTTCTGTCTCCAGGGTTTTGAATAGGACCTGATTCTTACAGCATCATAACCATCTGGGTTTTATTGTCTTCTACTGTGAGCTGAGAGCTGGTGGGAAGTGATGGGCTGGCAGCTGAGCACATGAAAACCCACTAGCAGTCCTCAGACCAGATACATCTCAGGAGATCATGGCACAAGTGTCTCCTACGTTGTCTTGTCCATGGACCTCAAACCAGCTCTGTAATGGCCATCTGTAGATCAACAGGAAAGTTCAGTCCCTTCAAACAATTCATTTCTGGTGGTACTAAAATGACAACAGCATCTCAGTTCCTGAGGGACACCAAGCAAGGGTCAGATGGTGAAAACTTTCAGTTACCGCCATCTCAGTCTGGATCTAAACTGGCTGTTTAGTGATTGATGCATTTCCTTTAGCTTATTGTCTTGGCTTTTTATGTTCCCAGTGACATAGACATCAGCACCCTATAGGGGCCCATTGTTTCCCAGGCTTAGCACTGCCAAGACTGCATTTCCTTAGGGTGACAATCTTTGAACAGAGCCCACACAAGACCTGAGCATCACTTAACTCCCACAGCTTACAGTCTCAGGGAAATCTAGGTTGTGGGTATATCTCTGAGGTATATCTACTCAGCAAGGGGAGGTGTGAATATAGCTCAGATACACATTTGCAAGCTAGCTCTACATCTAGTTATCTCAGATACCAATAGCAGTGACCACACAGAAGCCCAGACCTCAATATGTGCAAAACGGCCAAGTCACCAAGGACCTAGACTGGGTTGTGCAGCCTGCTCCCACAGTTATCACTGTGGCTTCACCATTGCTGGTACCTGAGTTAGCTAGATTGGGTTTGCCTAAATGTGCTGCAGTCACACCTCAACTTCCAGCATAACTAGACAAGACCAAGAATGTACTATAGTCCCCATTTAGACAAGAGGAACTGGGGCATATGGCAGTTAAGGGATTTGAACGTGGTAACACAAGAAATCAGTGGCAGGGGTAGGAACCAGACTCAGAATTCCTAACTCCTAGGTGTGTCCCAGGACCTGCCTTCCTTCCTGCCCACTGCTGGATGTTGGGAGTGAAAATCGTCCCTCTTGACCTCAAGTCAGTGCCCTCCCTATCCCCACAATGGAGGTAACTAAATGTGGATAGGAATGTGTAAAGCTAACTAATAGAAGCTGTATCTAAAAACTACAGTAGAGGCTGGCAGATTTCTCAGTGCATGCCAGAGAAATCCACATAGGCAGTGTCCCACCCAAGAAGGTTATTTATTCCTTTTGTTCTTTTCCCCAGAGGGCAGCAGTCTAAATATTCTCCTGAGCTGGAAAAACCCAAACCCACCTGGGAACAGGTAATAAGCACATTCAAACTGCTTTTTCATTGTCTTTTTGAAGCTTTTCATTAGTTCAGGCTGCAGTGAAAAGGAGGGGTGGAATTTTCTCTGAAAACAATGTCTGCTGTTTGAAAGGTATTTGTGACATCTGAGTACACACATGCACGTACGTGCACAAGCTCACACACACACATGTGACATTTCTCCTGTGCAAGCCTATGTTTGCAGGAAGGACGGGCAAGTCTGAAAGGATTAGAGGTTTGTTTCAAAGAAACACCCAAGATTTCAGCCACTTATTAACAGGTCTACTTCCCAGACCTCTTGAGCCTGCCAAACTGAGCCTGAAGACACATGGGAGGAGGTGTTGAGGAACACAAAGTGAAGGTTAATGGCTAGTGCTGGTGCCAGACTAGATGATCTCTTGGGCCCTTTGGCCTTAAGCTGTTCTGTCTAGCCGAGGTTGGCTGGCGTGGACAGAGGCTAAGCAATGGTAGAAGCCCACTGCTGTAATGAAGCTAGACACCGGTGTCCTGCCAGAGCTTGATTTGGCGCCTGGTGAAGGCAAGTGGAGTCTGACTACAGGGAGAAATGGATTTGGTGTAGGCTTATGTCCTTTAAATGTATTTACCTGCCTGACACCCATTGAGCTCAATACCTTTTGAGGATATGGGGTAGGGTGCCTAGTCATGCAATCCTTGCTTAGCATCAGGTTCCCAGTTTGCACCCATTTACACTGGCTTGCCGTGCCATGTTGAACCTTGCTTGGTCACCAGGCAATGTAAGCTGTGTGTTTGCATCGCTTTCCAATTGTCTTGTCTGTGTGGAGATGGGGTATCCCAAGAGCTCCCTTCCCCCACTCCGCATTCCTGCTTTCCTCAGACATTCTCAATGTATTAATAGCTCTGGCTGAAGCATCGAGCCTTAAACCCATCCAAGGAAAATACAAATGGGCCAGTGAAAAACTATAGGGTGCTGTGGAAATTCCTGAGTCATTAATAACATCTTGGACACCCTTAGCAGAGAATTAAACTTATGGAGGAAACAATACTGCTCCTTTTTACAGAGTGTTTTTCACCCTCTGAGCAATTTATGAGCATTGATTAACTGATTCTCCAAATACCACTTGTGAGCTAGGGATCATGCTTGAATTTATAGCCAGAGGGAGGAAGTGACATGACTGAGGTCACACAGTAGGTCAGTGGCAGAGCCAGCAATGGACTGTGGGAATCTGGTGCTCAGACTAGGTTGTATGTAGTCTCTTTGGGGAATAGGTCATTTGATTTGTTTAGCATGTAGCCCAGTGGAGTCTTAGACTATGACGAGTCTTCCTAGAGTACTACGTTATTAGTAGCAGTGAACATTGCTAACAAGTTATTTAAGTAGTTGCAGTTGCTGAAGAGAGAGATGGAGGCTTCTTTGTGTGGCTAGAATATATATCTCTGTGGTGCACTCCTCTGACTCTCTTCGGAGACATTCAAGAGAAACACAGATCAATCTGAGTCTGAACCATGCTTCCTCTTCTTTTAGCCCAGCTCCTGCCTGCAGTCACTAACATCAAAAGTGAAAGCAGACTCCAAGTTTGGGAAGCTCTTTGACTTCCGTATGCCAGTGCTGATGTGGGACCGTCACCTAACCTCAGAGACATGGAACAAGCTGAAGGAGCGTGGTGTCCCTTATGGCTGGCAGGGCTTGTCCTACACAGGTAATGGAGCACAATCCCCTTTGTCATATGCCAGATGTCCCAGCCCCTTACCCGTTGCATGGGGATGACATACTCTTGTTACCTTGCTAGGCGGGCCTGGTCCCTAAACACCACTGGGATGTGAGTATTGTAAGTGCAGTGGATGGAAACGAAGAAAGGAGGGGTGGCAGCCTGTGAGTATATCAGGGGTATTCATCAGGGCCTGGGGAGCATCTATTCACCAAGGCCCCTCGAGGGAGGACAAGAAATAATGGGCACAAGCTGATTGAAGATCGCTTCAGACTGGATATAAGAAAAAACTTCTTTACAAGCCGAGTGCCAGGGGTTTGGAACAGGATCCCCCAGAGATGGTTCAGCCACCCACCCTGGTGATCTTCAAACAGCGTCTCGATGCCCATCTTGCTGGGGTCATCTGATCCCAGCAGTCTTTTCTGCCGAAGTGCAGGGGGGCTGGACCCAATGATCTGCAAGGTCCCTTCCAGCCCATCTATGAAACTATGAAAGGTGACTTGGAGAAAGATTGTGAAGCCCGTTGCCAGTTCTCTGAGCCTGTTTATAAATCCCCATTTCCTGTTTATAAAGACAATCCCCAGCTCTTGTGGTTGACAAACCTCAGAACAGCTTGGTATCATTATCACCTATTATGCATAAGCAGAGTGAGGCCTGGTTTTGCCCCCGACAGTCCCATGGGTCAGGAGAGCTAAGGCTAACACCCAGCTTTCCCCAATCCCATCCCAATGTGTGCCCCTACAAGCTTCGCTGCCTGTGCCTGAATGGAGGGAATAGGTTCAACTGCATTGCTTTATGTAACCTGACTCCATATCCTATCCCTAATTCCTGCCACCATCCTAGTGGGCAGGGGCCCATGGCACAGGACCCCCCAGGTTAAGGAGCTCCAAATGGCAGCCTGGTTGGCAGGGCCAGCAGGGAGGTTATGGATGAAATGGGCTGTGGATCCCGTACTTGCTTAGAGACCTTAGCAGGAGAGCATGGTGGGGGAGATGCTTGCCAAGGCTGCAGCCTTTGGGAGGACTTCACCCTCCAGAGCCACTGCCTGGCACTTTCCAGTACTCATGTTCTGAGCTGCATGGTTGTGAAGGGTGGGAGGTGGGGGCAGAAACAGCTGGGGAGGTGAGCGGGATGGGGAGGCAGGGGCTGCAAACACCATAGTCACACTGATATTTCCTAGCTATCTCATTTCCTCGCTGGATAGGGCTGGGCAGACCACAGCCAAGGCCTAAACCTGATTTACAGCTAGGGCCGGGTCTCTGTTTGGAAAGGCTTGTGGGGGTGTTGAGAGAACAGAGAGACAGAGGATATGGCAGACCTGCCTGGGCTCCGAGTCCCTACCATGTAAACAGAGGGGTCACTATCTGGTTGATAAAAGCCTTCCTCCCCAGGGAGACAGGAGGGAGAGCCGGGTGGGAGTGGCGGGGCTGGGAAATGCTGCTATCAGTGTCTTGTGACATTTTCCTGAATAAAAGCTCCTAGTGTCCGTGTGATTATTAACTTGGAGTGAAAGGATCTCAGACAACCCGCTCCATTGTTGCAGGCCATTGGCGGCAGGGGATTGTTTCCCTTCCCACCCTGTGCCCACTCCCCAGGCCTCCCCAGCCGGGGCCAGCAGCTTGAATCTCTCAATTGTGAGGTGACGATGGAAGCAGCCGGGGGCAGAGGAAGAAACAAAACAGCGTGGGCAGTGCCGGCTGCAAGGAGCCACTGTTGGGAGGGAGAGGGCAGGGCATTGCCTCAGAGCAAGGCTAGTGAGTGCCATAGGCCCCCACCCCATGGATGCCTCCCATGGGGACTCCCACCACCGCCCTGCCACCTCTCCAGAACCAGCCACATGGGCTCCAGCAGGGCTGGGGTCGGGGAAGAGGCTTCTGTCCTGGATCACTTAAATATGGGGCAAATTTCTTTTTTTAGAAGATTTTAGAGACAAGGGATGCTCAGCATGGGCAGGAAAATGCTGCCCACGTACTGAGCTGGTGCAGGAGTCCATTACAGGCCGTATATAGCTGCCTATTCAGCACCTGCCCCTTCTTGCTTTGATCCCCAGCTATTGCCTCCACCCTCCGTCTCCTCAATGACTCTGCCAACAGATGGCTGATTGACAGAGCCAGCTTCCCCGGAGACTGCATCCGCTGTGCCGTGGTTGGGAATGGAGGGATTCTCAATGGATCCCGGCAAGGCAAGGAGATCGACGCGCATGACTTCGTCTTTAGGTATGGGCAGCTCCACGTCGCTGGGGCTCCTGGGAGCTGTAGCCTGGGAGAAGCCACCAGCTGGAGGGATGTTCACCTTTGGCACAGGTCCATTTGTTCAGCTTTACTGATGAAGGGAAGCCACTGAAAGATCTGGTGGGTTAAAGCTGTTCTCAGTTAGGGGACTTCCAGGTTCACATAACTTGCATTCTTGCTGCCCCAACAGAGCAGTGGGAGTTCTGCTTTAATGAATATCATTTCCCTCTGTGCTCCAGCAGTGGGGGTGAGATTATTAAACATTAACAGTGACACTTCATTGCAAATCTGAGGCAATATCCTCCTTGCCTTTCATTGCACAGTCCCCTTTTCAGGAGATCTTGGCCTATCATGGATTATTCCCTGGCAGGACATATTCTAGGCCCTTTAAATCAACACAGCTTCATCCTACATGGAGTCATCTGCCACAAGGGCTCTTTGCTGAGAGGAGCACCATTAGGTGCAATGTGGAGAAACAAGGACCTGGTGTTCATGTTATAACATCAGGTCTGCACCTTGGCCGAGGTGAAGGTGCCCGTGCAGTGCCCTGTATAACAGTGAGGGATGGGGAAATGAAAGCCAAAGATGCCAGAGCAAATCCCTACTGCCACAGAAGTGGCTACAGGGTTTCTGTTGCTCGGGTAGAGCCGGTGAGACCTCCGTGGTGAAGTTTTGCTGAGCAATACCTTTCTCCTCTCACGCAGTCCACGGCTGGGACTTGAGCTGGGCCTCTGAGGTTATATCTGGACTGCTTTCATAGTGTTCCTGAAGGCACTGCCCAGGTGCCTGCCCCTGAGCACCCACTCCTGCTCCTTTCCGCCCCGTTCTGGGTTTTGTGTGTATCTAGTGGGAGAGGGAACATGGGGCCTGCTTCTCCGCGATACTCTCAGGAGCATTGCAGAGACATGACGGGGGTAATGCAGGTATCGGTCCTCTGTGCTGGCCCATTGTCGTGAAGTGAGATGGCTTTTTGGAGGTAGATGGAGAGGCAAAAAGTTACACCTTTACAACCACAAACTGACGCACACACACGACCCCAGAGGGAAGCAGCGTTGGTGGTAGAGGCAATGTGTTGAGTACCCTGTGGCGAGAGGGCAGCCCTTTATCAGACCCCTCATCTTTGCCCTGGTCCTTCCACAGGCTCAATGGAGCTGTGACCAAAGGCTTTGAGGAAGATGTTGGGACCAAGACCTCCTTCTACGGCTTCACAGTGAACACCATGAAGAACTCTCTCATTGCTTACAGGGAGTACGGCTTCACCCAGGTACCCCAGTCCAAGGTAAGGAATCCCGGCTGGGGCTTGCTCTGAAAACCTTGGGTTGGATCTGGAGACTCATCCGGGTTGAGGGATGGAGCGTTACCACTCTGGGCTGGCGGGCTGTCAATGCGCGCAGCCTGGGAACCAGCGCTTTGACAACAGCCACCTACCGCTCTGCCTGGGAAGAGGCCCCGGCTCCTTTCTGGGTCACCAGAAACTTTCCCTCTATTTGGAAATCACTGTTTGTTGCTCAGTGTCTACATCTCCCGCTCTTCCTGCCAAAGCACATGTGTTTATCTACTCACCCTACATGTGCGGGTGGATGAACGAGGTTCCTTCTAGGCAGGGTTGAGGGTGTGATGGGGCCGGGCTTTTCAGCTTCTAAAGCATCACGTGTCCCGTCCCCTTTCTGCTGCAGGAACTACATTACATTTTCATCCCCTCGGACATGCGCGATTACACCATGCTGAGGTCGGCCATCCTAGGCAGCCCGGTCCAAGACGGTTTGGACAAGGGTGATGAGTAAGTAACCCTACCAGTCTGTCCCAGACCTACCCTAGCCCAGCCAGGCATAGAGCTGTCTTGGCAACTGATACCCTCTCTGCCCAGGGTGGGTATTTCTGCAAAGGTCCTCAGTGCTTACATGGGCCTTGTTGCTGTGGTATCAGCCTGCCTCAGCCCTTAAGATATTCCTCCTTACAGGCCCTGGGAGGTAGGGGAGTGCTATTGTCCTTACAGACTGGGGTATCGTGAAGCTAAGTGACTTGCCTGAGGCTGCACAGGAAGCCTGGGGCAGAGGAAGGACATGGGTGTCTCACATCCCAGGCTGGTGCCTTCTCCACTGAATCAACCTTCCTTTCTCTGAGCTTCAGCAGCCCGATTTTTCACGGTGCTCCAGCCCCCAGTGGGACCGACTCAGTAAGCAGCCTTGGAAACTCTGTCATAACCCACTCTACAGCACTGCAGTACTTAAAGTCTCCACACATGGAAATTAATCTCGTTGCTTTGGTGGCCCACTTTCACTGGCAACCGTTGTTCCTTTGCTAATACAAGGGAAGGATCAAAGCAAGGCAGGAACTGGACAGCAGGGCCCAACTTTAACAGTCACAAAAATAAAAGCCTGTTAATGCCTGGCTGAGTCGCTGCCCTAGAGGCCGTATGTTAAACCCCAGCACCCAAGGAGCAGTGTATTTTCCTTCAGCATTTGATATTTTCTCAGAGCCTGACCTCTCTGCCCTTGACAAATGGCACTGCTGTTTAGTCTAAACAACTAGCCTCTTTTTTAGGTTATAACATAAATACCAAGTTGTCCAAATAGCAGCATGATGTGAAATGATGTTTTTTGATCTCCCTGCCTCAGACCATCAAAATATTTTGGACCAGAGGCATCTGCAAAGAAGTTCAAGCTGCTGCACCCAGATTTCATGCATTATCTAACAGCAAGGTAAGGAAAACAAGGTGTCTTTGGGCAAAACACTCCCGCAATACCACAGCTCCTGTTCAGTGCTGAGCTGACCCAGGTCTATTCCCAGCAGCCTGCCCCTGAATTATTAAGCACCGTCAAACTCAGTCAGTCTTTCTGCTCTTGGCCTGCAGTCTCTTCCTCACCCTGCAGTCTTCCTCCATTGCTGCAACCCACTCCAGTGACACTGAATGTGCTTCTGCTCTCACACACGAGTCAGTTCTGTCCCATTCGTAGCTGTGCAGCTCACTGTGATCCCTTTGGGAATTACCCCAAACTGTTTCTGTCCATTGCAGTTCAACCCAGTTTGGTTCCTTGCAGTCTAATGTGTCTTCCTTCAGCATTTCCTTCATTATGTTTGCTGTGGTTGAAGCCTCCGTTCCTCCTGAGCTCGTTTGCTATAATCCCATCTCTTTGCTCACAGGTTTTTGAGGTCGGATATAATCAATACACAATACGGCTACCTCTACATGCCCAGTACTGGTGCCCTCATGTTGCTGACAGCCCTTCATACCTGTGACCAGGTAAGAGGCTTTGGGGGGGGGGGG